CACACCGACATGCACACCTACACCCACACCGACATGCACATCTACACCCACATCCACACCCTCCGAACTTTTCAATGTGAACACAACAGTTAATAAAGATATTCTATAACCAATACCACTTCTTTACATTAACAATACGAAACTCTCAGGCCAGAATATTAGAACTAATTTACAACAGTTCTCTTCTTAAAAATACTTCGTGTTCAGCAATATATTTTCTAAAAAGTGAAAATATAAATGACGAAAATAATAGTTGAACTATTTTAGTGATTCGTATATTACGATCTAACTCTACGGCTTGTAGTTTTTTCATTTGTTTGCAATTAACTTCCGTATATGAGTAGAATATGGCACTTAGTACGAACTTCTATTCTCTTTAAATAATTAAGATTTTCCAGTGGAACAAATTATTTCTTTATTCTTACTGATGATGAACATCAGACGATATATTTTATTTTTGGGTACTAAAATAAATTTTCTAATTTGAATGATTGATATTCCTGGAATCATTAAGATTGTTCGTATAATCTGTTTTATATGAAAAATGAAAAGCTCTTCTCGATATAAACTAAAAAGTATATTGCAAATGTATAAAATTTAGAAAAAGAACCTACCAATTGGAATGTCATTCAAAAGAAGGTTTGCTGTTCATTTAGCTGTTGTTTCTCTTTCAATAAAGCTATTTTTTCGATAGTAAAAATTATTCAACAATAACTTCGGCTAATTGATCAAGTTCTTGTTTAGTTTCCTATCTAAATTGTTCATCATCAATCATCAGATTATCTTCTGTTTTTGTTTATGTATTTTATTTTTTCTTATTTTTGAATACCATTTAACTGTTGGTTCAGTTCTACTTATACGTATTGTTATTTCACAACTATCATCAAAATAAAATGTTATCATCTCTAACACCAGTTATATGATAATTAACACATATTTTCGAACAAATATATACTTCATCAACATCCAAATTAGATTTTATTTTATTTGAATATTGGACAAGAATTTCAGATACACTTCGTTCACTACGATAAATTGGTATATTTTCCTAGAAGAATATAAATTCACTAAAGAAAAATTTGCAAATTTTCTGAAAGATTGAATGTTTAACTTACATAACTTCTTCAAAACCAAAAAGAACATATTTTTTATCATTAAGTAATTGATGTGATATATTTTCGAGCCATTTAAAACCTGTTAATGTATCGATTGTATTAAAATCTTTAACTAAATCATATAAACATCTTTAACATCAACCCTTGGATTTCGATTACAACAAGTAAACCAAAGCTACCAACCTATTTAATAAAAAAAAAATAATCATTCTTTAGCTAAATAAAATCTGCATTATTTTTATTAGCTATTACAATAGCACATTCAAGTGTTTCTTTTCCTTCTTTTGAATCTGACTGTTGGAAAATTAGGATCAACATTTCTTTTTTGTTCATCAACTGAAATAAATGATTGAAATGTAAATGCAACAAGTGCTTGTTCAACATATGACTGACCAATATCATGAACAGGAATATAAACAAATTTTAATGGTATTGACGCATTGAATTCAGAAAAATAACATAAATTTGATGTATATAAATCACGAATCTTAAATTATAAATATATTCAAATAAAGAATTTTTCTCTCAAATAAAAGTTTCATCTTTTCAATAGAATCATAAACTAATTTGGAGTTGTTATCTTTGAATATATTTAAATTCTATGCTTGTTCTTTCCACGGCTCTAAATTAGTTTCAATAGAATCATCAATATGTGCGTCGAATAGTGAAATAATTTGTACACACCATTTTTCCAATAAACTTTATAATCATAATCATCTTTTGAATTATAACTTGCTGTTATCATAGTATCAGCTTGACATTTTAATTTCTTTTTGGAATGGAAAATGCAATAGATGATGTTGGAATTATTGTTGAATCAAATAAATAAACATGAATTCGTTCATGAGCAAATAAAGCTGCTTTCTTTAAACTAACAAATTCAAGTATTTTCATTGATAATATAACTTCTCTACCTTCTAGACAACCTTTTCTATTCTTCTGCAGTGTGGAATTTATCATTCTTTTTTTTTGAAATATCATTTATCTCATTGAAATCAGAAGAAATACAATTAGAATGTGGCGAAAGTCGTTTTGTAATGAAAAATTCCAATAAAAAAAAAACTTTTTTAAAAATCAAGAAAAATAAACCAATTTCGTCGTAGTACTGTCAATTCATTGAAATTTTTTTTATTAGAAATAATCCGGAATGTGAATTCTATTCATCTATAGAAAAAAAAAACTATAGACAAGACTTTGAAATAGTTTCATTTTCTAGAAGCTTGCTGCCGTCTTTGTATTTTCTTTCTTTTGTATTCTCACACTATTGTAACATATTTCGAGTTTTCTTTATTAGACTTTTTTTTTCTTAACGAAGACAACATCTTTTTACATAACTAAACAAGAGTTCAATTAAATATCTGAAATATATTCGAACGATATCTTTTCTTGTAAGCTGCCATACGTAAGAAGTGTAATGTCACCGAAGAAAAGTAGCTGTTTCTTTGAAGAGATAATATCGGAACTATGTTTAAACAAAAAATGTTATACGAACATTAACTAAAAGAGAAAAAAACGTTTTTCTTACTTGAATATAATAGTCCGAAACATTAAGATTTGTGGCAATACTTTGCGTTTCATCTACTTTAGGAATATTATTATCTTGAGAAACTAAAAAAAAAGACAAAATCGATAACCATTGATAATTAGAGAAGAATTGAAAATATATTTTATCAAATATCTTACACTGTTCAAACGAGTCTAGTTGTTCTTTTGTTAACGTTTGTAATTACCCCTCATGAGGCAAGTTCAGATCCTATAATTAGGTTACAACATTCACTTTTACAGATATTTTCTCCATTGATTTCACTCCTATCTTTCTCTAATTCGGAAGAATTATGATTCATTAGAAATAAAGAAAATGAATAGCGAGGAACAAGGAAATATAATGTTGGTTTGTATGCGCTTTAACTGGAAATGCACGAACAATGTTCTATATTGTATATACATATATATTCATAATGAAGAGAGATCACTATAGAAAATAGCATACAGAACTGTGATATTTTAGAGTAGGCCACCAATTCGTCTATATTCAATAGAATCAATATGAGCGAACAATTCATATTATGAAAAGAATGCATTTCATATGAAAAAAAAAATGCGTAGCGAGGAATGATTTTCTTATAAGAAGCATGAAATTTACACATTATTATTTTTAATTCAATAATCAACTCAAATAATTCACGATTTGAAACATTTTAATTCTCTAAGAATATCCACATTGAAAAATTGATTTTAATAGATTTCTCAGAGGTCATATAATTACCATCAAATGTGAAAAAAAACCACTTTTTCTTTCACAATATTTTGATATCTATATTTAAATATTTAGCAATACAATATTATTTTAGGAAAGTTATTTTTTGATCAGCAAATTTAATTATTGTAAAATAATTAGTATAACGCAGGTTTTTTTGACTTGTTTGATAGACGATACATTCATAGTAGGTAACCAATGGATGAAAGTAAGACGGAGAGTGTTGAGGATGAAAATTCTGATGGAGGATAGGTATGATGTTGATGGTATGGATGAAGAAGGTAAGGAGATCAGTTATCTTGTAATCGGGCTGTGTGACCGTGACGATTGGAGCAAAAGTGGACGGTTGGAACAGTAATGTTATTTGTGACATTTTGCTCTACATTGTCTCTGATACTGAAATTCATTTTATTTTGTATTGGCATAGTTTTTATCCTATTATTATGTTTAACTCAAAGCATTTTTTTAATGTACCTGTTGCTTTTTCTTTCAATAATAGAGTTTTGGCGATCATTTCGCACAAAACACATTATTATGATCAAAAATATTCATATGTATTCTTTTCGTTGAAAAATAATTCCAGAGAATGTAAAACGTAACAAATGAATTATTAAGAAAGTTAAACATAAAACAGTACTCTCATGAAAAAGTTTGTTGTGAAATCATATAGTAACAATGAAAAATATTTAGCTATTATGAAGAGAAGTCATCAGCACAGAGATGTTCAAAATCTATAATTATAATTTGTGTATAGTCTTGAAATTTCTTATCACATTGAAAAGGCGATAGTAATTGTCTATTTTCACATGAAATAATCAATTTAACATGCAATAAAATATTTGACATATTTGATTTTTAATTAATCATTAAATCAATAGTAATCGTTAGTTATACGCAACTACATGGACGACATTACCATTGTATTTGTATATTCTTTAGTAGCTCCTTTATCCAAAGTTCTAAAGATTTCAAGAAAAATAAATCGTAGTCAGCATAGCAAAAGTCAAAGTAAAGTCAATACGTACCAAAGTGCTCTGTTAAACTCTAACAAAAGATTCCAGTATAAACTAAATTGAAAGAGTATTTCTATATATTAATTACACTTCGACTTTTGCTGTACTGACCACAATTGATCTTTCCTAAAATCTTCAGAACTTTTAACAAAGAAATTATTGAAAAACATACAATAAAATGATGTAAATGCTAAAGAATATGTTTTCGAACAGATCGTTTGCGTTTTTGGTGGAAAAAAAATGCGTTTACACGCAGATTTGTGGAACCTTTTTTCGTGAACATCTCTATCTTCTTTTCTTGTTTCTTAATTTCTTCTATTTCTTCTTCATCATTTTTATTTACTAAACGTGGCATCTTGTGAATTTTTTCGTTTTTCTTTTTCTCAATATCTATTACCTCTGCCAGTTTATTATTATGAGAGTTGGTGTTGTTCGAGTTTGCTTCGAGACTTTTTTAAGTTAACGAACAATATACTTTTTAGTTTTATGGATTAAGGGTTCCCTCAAGACCAATTTTTAATAGGAAAATAAAACTTGTCACTCGTTTTCCTCCACATAAAAAGATAATGTTCTTATTTATTGTCATTATTCGCTCATGTTCATCTCTGTTATAGCGACTATCATGATTAAATATATCGAACGATATAATCGATAAATAAAATAAAACGTTTCATATTTAAACTGATGCTTTTCCTGAGCAGACGTCTTTCCTTTGCAGTGTCATTATCATTAAAATTTGCTTGAATTGTTAATGATGCAATTGATTATTTTCTTGAAAAAACTTCGAATGATTTTTCACTATGTCAACGTTTTAATTAATTTATTACTCTGAATATGTCCCAAATTTAAAATACAAACAGATTTATTGTTTTTGTTATGATTTGATAAAGCTAAAGCTAGTCGCACTATATATAGAAAAAATACAACTGGGAAATTTCAGAAGGAATTTCTCGATGAAAGATTATTGATTGATTTGAAAATCATCGGAAATTGAGTATATCTAGATTTGGATAGATAATGTCTTCTTATACATATATTCAAAATGTTGGTTATACTTAAAATAATAACAACTGTTTTTGAATTTTTACTATTTGTCAATATTATTAAAACCGTCATATGTATTTGTATACACGAAGCATTCGATGAGAATCTAATCGAGCTTCTAATTAAATTTGTCATTAAATAAAGAATCTTTTTGGAATACTATAGCTTTGTTGAAAATAAATTATTTGTTGGAAAATCATTCTTGTATTCTAATTTAGTGAAAAATGTTGTTGAATATCCATTTTCTTTTACAAGACAAATAATATCGCGTTAACTTCTCTGTCAAAATAAACGCATCAATCATAATGAATATTTTCATATATATATCTGAAATATCGTTTTGTTCAAACAGAGATCAAACAGTTGAAATTCAATGTTTTCTTCTCCTCCTTTTCAGATCAACTTTACCAAACAAAATAAAAATCATTAAAAAAAAACTATGTAGGTGTGTTGGCATCTATTCGTTTTCTTTTGATTTAATCTGCATATTTTACACGACTAAATACAAAATACCAAAAGTATCAACATTAATAATGTGATCGTAGAGCCTATTACATTATTTTAATATTTGATATTATTGCTTCTAAATATTTTTGATTGTTTTTCAGACTTTTTCATTCCTATGCGATGATATGCTAGGTTTTTTTTAAAAGAAATCTTTTTCTTTCTCTTTCTCCTTTTACAAGTAAATCTTGTTGGCATTTGTTTCTTTTTGGAAAATTCTTTTTCTTTCACCCTACCTATTATCTCTCTTGTCGGTGTAGAAACATTGTAGAGGACCAAACTTTTTTGAAAAGTAGTCTATGATCTCTTCAACAAACATTGTTTAGAAAATATTTTATTTCAATCTATTGGCTTTAAGTTAAGTACTTATTCTTTCAACTGACTAAAAGACATGTTTGCTACATGAAAACGGACATGAAATTGCGATTGATTTTATGGGTTATCAATTTGTGATAAGAAATCTAGTTGTATATAGGTTGATGATCGTTCACAAACACTATAAAATAGTATATAAACATTCTTCCTTATCTAATATGTTTTTCAAAAAAACAATCGCCTGGTTGATTTAAGCTCGAAATTTTCATGACTAATCTATAAAATCATGTGTAAAAGATTCTTTTCGAAATATATGGTGATCAAACTGTACTAATTGTTCGAGATAACAAAACTTGTAATGTTAACACTGATGATTTTGCCAAACTTAACGACGCAAAAGATTTTGTTATTCTTAGACAAGTGAAGTTAAGTTTTTTTTCCAAGATACGATCGATAAAATTTTAAATATACTAACCGCTCATATATTTGAATTTGAAACAGTCCCTTGTTCGGGAGAAGAAAAATCAAAGTGCATTTTTTTCAAAAAGGTGCGAAGAGCTCTTTCAGTCAATAGAAATATTAGGTTGGCAACTAAGTCTTTGCGTTTTTTTC